CATGAAGAATAATTAAAAATAAAAACCCACGACCGCTAAAAAAACTACTGAGCCTAGTTTAGCCGATTAAATTCATAGTTCTTGTGATATAACACAGTATGACAAAATTTGATTTTTTTTCCTCCCATGAAAAATTTCTATAAATTTTAAAAATAGACTTACAAAAATGATACCCTTGTCGATCCAATAAAATGTTATCCACGGTATTCGGCACATAATATAAAAGCTTCGATAACAGCTAGACTGTATATTCAAAAAATATATATTTACTAAATAAATGGATAGCCATTAAAATTATTTATTTATTTTAAAATTATTTGAATTATATTCAGGGTGTTACACATTTACGAAATACGGGTGTTTCACGTTCGTGGTCCATTAAAAGTTTCTGAGGAACGGCAAAAGATATCGATTTGAAATTTTTAAAGCGTTTATAATCCAATTAAGCCTATTATTCTAAAATATTTTAAACTAAATGCAACTTCTGGGTTGACCGGAAGAGACATAAACTTTGTTATTTTAAATAGAACACCTCATATATTTTTACATTTTTAAATTCTACATACAATTCTGAGTAAAATTACTCTATCATGTCCTATACCAATGTCCTGTACCTAAAGTGAATAGTTTTTGAGTTATTAATTTTTTTCGTTAAAATTTGACAAATGGGCGTCAATCAAAAATAGCCTATAACTTTTTTGCTATTAGGTTTGCGGAAATGGGGGTGGAATTTTTGGAATCTTAAAACATTATTTAAAAGATTCTATGTCAATTTTTTAAACATTTTTTAACAAAATACCCAAGAAAACTGAGGGCAAATGAGGCTAACTTGAAACGTTTGTAACTTTTTTAGTTTAAATGAAATTAATATGTTACATAATCAAATAGAAAATTAAGAAACATTTCGATTGATGTAATTATTTCCTATAAATTTAATAATTATAGAGATATTTAACAGATTCTAATATTATACCCAGAATAGTCAGGAGAGCAAAGTCTAATGTAGAAGTAAGAATTAAGAAATGCTTAAATGTAAATGGAGGACACTATGAACATTTAGTAATAAATTAGTAATAAAAATTGTTAATTAAAATATTGTTGGTATATTAAATTGTTACAGTTAGGTAAGTATTCTTTTTGTTATTAAAATATTTCATATAATAAATTTTATATTTTATTGTCTCCAATGAGTGCTTCATCTAGTTGACATGCTACAGCTTTGTTGACTTTTTTTCAAAATTTGCAAATACTATTTGTATTACTTTTAAATTTTAAAAACGTTTGGCTTGACAATGATTTTTAAAATTTACTTCCTGCTTTTTTATCAGTAATTTTGTTTACAAAATACTTAATTAGTCAACAAATTGTTTATAAACACCTGAAAAATTGACGACATTAAATTTTGAACAATGACAGATTACGTGGTAACCACAGATACCGTCAACTCACCCGTCACAGGTTTCTTTATACAAAATAATATTTAAAATTTTCTAAAATTGTTAAATATCTCTGAAAATATTAACTTTAGGTATAGGGAATAGTTACATTAATCAAAATGTTTTTTAATTTGCTATTTAATTAGGTAAAAACATAGCGGGTGTACATTTAAAATAAAAAAGTTTGCCCGATTTGCCCTGGGTTTTCTAATTTGTTGAAAATGTTAAAGAATTGACATGAAATATTTTAAACAATGTTTTAAAATTCCAAAAATGTTACCCCAATATCCGTAAACCTAATAGCAAACAAGTTATAGGCTATTTTTGATTGACGCGCATTTCTGTGGGCAAAAGGCATAAGGGGATAAGTCAAAATGATCAATTTTTCAGTACAGCCTTAAACGTATTCGCATTAATTCAGGAAATATATTTATGGTTAGCGTGTATACCCTTTTGTTAGCAAATGACATATGCTAACAAAAGCGTATACCCGCTAAACATAAATATATTTCCTGAATTAATGCGAACACGTTAAAGGCTCTATTGAAAAATTGCTTTTTTGACTTATCCTTTTACCCACAGATTTGTGAAGTTTTAACTAAATAAATTATAACTCGAAAACTATTCAATTTGGGTATAGACACAGGTTTATTTTTAAAGAATATACGTAAATGGATTATAAACACTTTTAAATTTCAAATCGATATTTTTTTTTTTCGTTCCTCAGAAACTTCCATTGGACCCCGAATGTGAAACACCCTGTATATCAAGTGGTGTTGTGATACCACTATATATTCTAAAGCAATGTCAAACTAAAAGATCAAGATTTGTTTCCAACATAATATTATATTATATTTAATATAAGATAAATACAAATCTGTTCTTTTATTAAAAAAATCAAAAATTAAAACCGGAAATATTTGTTTTACTTAAAAAAAAATATAAATATTATTTTCTTTAAGTATAATTTTTGTGTTATGTAAAAACATACAATATTTAAAGAAAAAAAATGATTTATAACAATTTACATTTATTTTTAAAATCTGTTAAATTTTTTCATGGGAGGAAAATCGTGTTGAACCACAGTTATGTGTGTTGAACTGTGTAATATATAAAATTTGTATTTTTTCCGCCAATAAAAAGCCGATAGTATTTTTTTTATTTCCGGTCTCATACATAATCAGCTTGTAGATTGCGGAAATGTCCTCTGTCGTGGTATTTGATTCTACACAACTGATTTATATTTTACCATATTTCAGCATAAATGAACAGTTTTAGTGCATGCTTTTCACAGTCTTGAAGATAATATACAATATAAATTTTTTGAAGAGCTACGTCCGACGCGTCTGTTACATAAGAGAAAAAAATCTTCGGTTCTCGAATAATTAAAAAAAACTGAAAATCTGACAAAATTAAAAATTGTTATAACTTCGTTGTTCCTGGTAATTTAAAAGTTTTACAGGTAAACATTGACATATATCTACATTTTTAACAAATTTACTATCTTTTGTTTTTCTACCATATTGAAATTTTACATGGTTAGAAAAAAATCAAGGAATCCAACGATGTTGAAAGGTTTGTATTGTAGTCTTTTTCAAATATTTTAAGAATCTTTTAATCTACCTATCTATCTAATCTATAAATTTCATTGTAAAACTACTACTCTATAATTTAACCGATTAAGTAGCTCTTCAAATAAAATGCCTATAAAAGTATACGGGTAATTATACTATTAAGGCTCTCTGACATTTGTCAGTGGTCCCTAATATTTCTTATTAAAAAAATAATAAATTGAGACAGCTAATATAGACCTAGATTTATAAATAAGAACTTAAAATAACAATTATTAATAGAACATTTTTTTGTTTTAATTAAGGTTGAAATTTAGCATCACACTCTATAACCCCATGTCCCCATCATATTGCAATCGTAAAAACTTGGATATATTTCATAGGTTTTGTATAAAACAGAATTCTAAAACTAAAATGAAATAACAAATAAGTGGCTCCTCACTACTAATAAAAAATGTAATAAAATGTCTGTGAATAATTTTTTAAACGTTACCAAACCTTGTCCTTATTAAAAAAATTTTAATGTCTACTTCGTGACAAACTGCCTAAATTAAATCAGCTTTCTTATAAAATACACTGGAGTTTAGCATTACATTTAAAAGAACTTTGTAACCCATGTAGTTTATAACTGTGGCACGAGATGGCGCCGCTGCATGCAATGGTATCGCTATTGTTATTTTGCACGTTACAAACAAGCAGAGTGTGTTTTTGAAGGTTATCTTTGGTCACGGCATTTACTCGACAGTATTTAATTATCTTTTTCATGCAAAGTACACCAATTTCTTTCCTTTTAAGTAATGCATGTTTTATATGCATTTATTGTGTAGAAAATAGATTTTTTTATTGTGACATTAAAACTTAAAAATAAGACTCTTTAAGCGAAACTTTACTGCTGTGAGTAACATTAGAATTACCTTTAGTTTGCCTAAATAATAGTCACAAATTGTAACTCACAATGGATATAAAAATGTGAAATATTTATTTTTTAGAGGTAGATGGGGCTAAAAGTATAATGACCCATACTTAAAGATCTATAGAAGGATACTTGGTGCACCCTGTAAAATAAATGGTTAATATAATATATTGCTGATATAAATCATGGCATGCTACCCATACAGACTGTATAGAATCAAGTAAGTAAGGCTGGAGACAAGGATGACAAATTATATTCTGATCAGAGAAAAAGAAACAAACTTTAATTGGGCGTGGTTTAAACCATTAAACATTCTGTTTGAAACTTTAAAAATAACAAAAAAATTAATAGGTCAAAAATAATTTGATTTAGTTAATTTTCTTCCTTTTAATATTAAAAAATAAGAAAAACAACCCTTTTAGGAAACAATAATAGCATATGGCAACAGCGCGGCATGCAGCCAGATACAAGGGCATGCTGTGTTTGTTCAGTAGCTCCGACGCTGTCGTAGGGAAATGTGTATAGTTTTTAAGAAATACATTTTCGCCATAAACTGGAATTTAATGGATTTTAAACAATACTTAGTTTTTATTTGCAGAAATGCATTAAAACAAAACAAACGAATTCGATAAAAATAAAACCTATAAATTCTCAAACAAAAATAATTCCAAAATAACGAAAATAACTTTCAATCCCTACCACAGTAGGCGGGGTTTGGCACTTGTTTTATTTAAGTGTATCTATTCGTTTTAATACACACTGTATATCCGGAACCCTGCCAAAAAGGGCATCATGCTTTTTGGCATAGTCATTGCACAAGTAACAAATTTATTAAAAACAAAAAATTACATTATTTTATAATTTTTAAGCGAGTTTGTTATTTTTTTAAAACTATTATTTGTTTTATTTATTTAATCTTTAATTAATTAAAGTAAATTGCATTATTTACAATTTTTTAGTTCGTTTAGCGTGTTTTTTTAGTTTTTTAAAGCATTATTTATAGTATTATTCAATCCATATATACATTGTTTATACAAGTTATTAAAAATAAAAAAATAGGTAAGTTATTTTAAGACTAAAAACAGTTTAAAAGTGTTTATTGACTACTGCCTTTAAATAAAACTTGCAATAAAATATAATACACCATAAACATAATTATTATACTCAAAAAATTACAAATTGCTTTACGTAATTTCCATTATTTCAATGGTACCTCCAGGAAAATCGGTCTCAGAATCGCTTTCATCCTCCTCGCCACTGAAGGCAGTTAAAGGATTTTTGGTCATTAATAATCCCTTTTCCCACAAATCAGCAACCAATTGCACTTTACCAGTATCTTCTTTTATGGGAAGCTGCTCGACTTCAATAAAATCGGGATAAATACTTTGGAGTTTTTCCATTGCCGGGATAAGTCCATTGTCAATTTCTAGCCATTGAGGTTCTTCACCATGATAAACTTTGTCGTTATCGCATGAATAGTATATTTTTGAAACCTGTTCGTTTTCTTTAACAACTCTTAAGCCATAATATCTCACTAAGCGAATTTTTGTATCCAGTCCAATTTCAACTCTAAAAAAAATGATTGTATTATATTAACTTAAAGAAACTATGTCTTTAAAATAAATTATGCTAGTGTTATAACATCAACACAGAAAAATGTACAGAAAAAAGGGCACAATGTATCAATTTTACCATATGCTATATAGAAAATATATTTACATTCTCATAATTTCTATCATTTAAAACCAAATATAAAAGTTAAAAATTGGCTAAATTACGGATTATTATTATAAATAAAATAAATTGACATCTTCCTTCAAAATTAAAGGTTAATGTCACTTTTGGGTAAATTGTCTTAACTTAAACCTGCTTTAAAACTTGCCTAAAAATTTACCTCAAGAAACATATTAAAAAATATTAGTAAATACCTATAAGAGACCCTGAATTTAAGCAATAAAGCCTAGAATACAGTATAGTAAATATCAATAGTAACAATAACAAAAGCAATATTGCAATGTTTGAACCTTTATAAGAGTATTAATACTCTTATAAAGGTTCAAACATTAAACAATATTAATTTTAACTATTGAATATTATTTTTATATTCTTCTGATCCTAGCCATTTCAGGCGCCTAAAAATTTAGTACATAATAATATTATAATATAGGTATAAATCTTCAGGTCTCTTGGCTATCATCAGATAAAAATGGCTTATTAACCTTCTCTTAAATATGAATAATTTCATGCATACATTTTTTATTTTTTCGAAACTACTTTTTTAAACTGGTGATGAAATTTATAAATTTACAAGGAGGTGTTTCTTAGAATTTGCGACTTTACTTTCTATAGAAAATGGAAAGAAATAAACCAATCAGAGCACGATATTCTCCATTGCACACATCTGCTGTTTTAATAAACACACTATATGTTTATTGAAACAGCAGATAAACATACACTATCCCGATAAGACAAAAGGCACAATATTAAGTAGTCAAGGATAAATAAATAAATTTTTAGTATTTAGTATATGTGTTTCACCAAATGTTACATAAATATAATACAAGTGAACACTACAAGAAAATATTACAAGAGATTTAAGTCAGATATGCATTGAAATGGTATGTCCTAGTCAAGGATATATGGAGACAGGTTGGTCGATTTCCTAGCGATGGGCTATTGTAAAGAAAGGATTACGTAACAAGAAAGCACTGTCCACCACCTGAAACCATTTAAGGGGTTTTCCATAAGAGTGATGTTTTCTTTATTGCGTAAAAAGATAGAAAAGAGTGAGAGCAACAATCTTTTTTTATTTTGAACTACAAGACAACTCTACAAAACAAAAACTTTTCGTTGTTCTTGGGTTCATTTTATGATTTTTATATTCATCATGCACCAACATGAAGGAAAAATATCTAAATCCTCTTTAAAGTTGGCTTATGTAGTGGTGGTACTAATACACCCACTAAGCATCAAACCTTGCAATTGCAATTAATAGAGCCCAAAATCATATCATTCGGCCAGTCATTATTATATTATATTTATTTTTTATGTTATATTTATCCAATATTATCGTTACTGTGATACTAAGGATTTATTTTTTCAATAAAAGAAACTTAAGTTTAGACAACATTGGTAAACACAAAAGGAAAATCTATTGAATCCAACTATTAGCTGGCCATACACAGACGTTATTGTGCGCGGTTTATCGTGTTATCTGCAAAAACATATGGAAAATCATGTACGTGAGTGAGTATCGCCGCGCGCAATGATAGAACGGGAAGGGATTTCAGACGTGCTTTCCTCTGGAGTGTGGAGTGTCCACACGCCACATTCCGCGTCACGGTTTACCTTTGCTTGGCAAAATTTCACGTTGAAAATTTGTACATGATCACATGCAGTTTCAAACGACTCGATAAATGACACTTTTTGCCCACTCACATACGATTTTTCCTTTGAAACTGATGTACCACGGGCAATCACTTGCTAAATCATTTGAATACTTTATCAAGTGTATGGAACATGACGCTTTTTTTGCCATGCCGTTCTTTCGTGCATACTAACCGCTACATCCCAACACGCCACGATAAACCGCGCGAAATAACGCCTGTGTATGGCCAGCTATTATTATTGTAATTTGAGAATTTTTTTTTTACATTTTTTATTAAAATTAATATTACAAAATTAAAGATATGTCTAGAAAACTAAATTAAACAATTTAACAATAAATCTTTTTGTTTGGCCCATGTTTTAAACATAGCTTTTTTATCATCATATTAGACTTGAGTTAAAGCAACAAATTTGCCATTGTTGATTGTTGTTAGTGACAAACATAGATTTTTGGCCTATGGTGACAAATTAGCAGTTAATTATAATCTGTGATTGTCGTAGTAGTTTAAAAAAATGGTGCGTGGCAATGCTTTGTATAACGTAAAGTTATTGTCAATTCATACAATGCTGGTTATTCTTGCGCTAAAATTGCTAACCAATTATCACGTTATACTGTGCGAAATATTGCAAATTCTATAAAACGACAGCAGTTCAAGAAAAGCCAAATTTGGGTAGAATTTCAAAAATAACCCCGACCAATATGAGAGCCTTACGGCGTATTTTGAAACAAAACCGTCGTGCCAATAGTGAAATAGGCAACGGGTAAACATTTTTCAAGGTCACAACCTGTCAGAGTTATCAAACGATTAGGGTATAATTTCTATAAAGTAAGTTATTTTGTAGATTTTTTTTGTATACAGACTCGTGAGTGCAATAGTGGAAAATTTTTAATGCGTATGCTAAAGAAAAACCTCTGTTAACTGTGATACAGAAAAAGAATAGGCTAAAATGGGCAAAAAATCATCAGAACTTGTCGCAGATGCAATGGTATAGTGTTATTTGAAGTGACGAGACAAGGTTTGAGGTATGTGTTGGAGATTACCGAAGTAGGGTATTAAGGACCAAAAATGAACCATATCATTCAGATTGTTTGCGCCTAAAAGTAAAATTTCCGGCTTCTGTAATGATTTGGGGATGCATGTTGTACATCATAGAAGGGAATGTTAATGCTGTTAGATATATTAACATCAGTATAGACAGTTTAATGCCATCCATTAAAACCTTAAAAACAAGAGAAAATGAGTATCTACATATTCCAACAAGATGGCGCTGCGTATTATACTGCTAAAATAGTAAAGGAATGGATGTTGCAAAATATTATTCAGATGTTGAATTGGGTATGCAATAATCCCGATCTATCGCCAATTAAAACATTTGGCATAATATAAAAAAAAGTTACGTGCTTCACCTGCTAGAACAGTTCCTAAATTAAAAGAGACGTACTCAAATTTGGGACTCGTTTACTGCTAAAGATTGTAAAAAGTTAGTAGATACTTACTATGCCGAAGCGAATCCAAGCTGTTCTAAAGCAAAAGGAAGATTTAACACAGAGGTAAAATGTTTAAAAAAATGTTCAAAATTACAAAATAATAGTTGGATTCAATAGATTGTTCTTTTGTGTTTACCAATGTTGTCTAAAATAATGTATGTAATGCCCGAATTTTTGCTAAAATAATGTGCCCGATAGTGTGACCGATTTATGCCCAAAGTGTTTCTAATTTTTGGTTACCAAATATATATACTATAGTCACCATTTGTTCCAAATTGTTCCAAATTGTTGCCAAAGTACGGTTTTGTGTCAAATGGACCCAAACTTTTTTAATTGGAAACAAATAAGATACTTGCAACAAAGCGCATGTCTTATTTAATAATAATTATGTATATAATAATATAAAATACTTAATTATGGCGATTTTTATGCTAACTGTTCAAAGAAAATTATGGTCTGATAACTTAAATAGACCTTAACCTTATACAAACAACATTGATGGTATTTAGTGGAAAAATATAGTCTCTCAGCCAAGAGTAATCCACAAGGGATGTATATTTTTGTTTAATAACTTCAGATCCTGTTATCTCACAAACCCAAAAAGAACAAGCCTCAAAACTTTAATAGCTATGTTAAAAGCCCAATTTTTTAATATTCTTTCTCACTACATATTATGTATGTATATGAAGTGAGAAAGAAAGGTAATGATGATAATGAAGACAAAAAAGTGACGATGCATTCGAGAATATCGATTAATACTTAAAATCTTAAAATATTTCTCTTCATATGAGAAAAGATGATTGCCTAATTTTTTTATTGAAATATTTAATGTTTAAAACACTTAAAACACCCATTAAAGTAACAAAATAGTTAAATTTTTACAAGAGCTAGTCCAGTAAATATTTATCATGCATAATTCTTTTAGAAACCTAATTTAATGTAATGCAACTTTATTTTATTTAATGCAGGTTATTTGCTAAAGACAGTATTTCACTTTTAAAAAACATTGTGACAAGATGAGTGAAGGGGGAAAAATTTATTCTGTATAGCGATGGAGCACCCGTAATGACAGGAAAAACCAATGATTGTGTGGTTTTGTTAAAAAAGTCCCTAGGCCGGCAATTGTTTTTAGATTATTCCATTATCCACCAGAATGCTTTATTTGCGAATAATATTAAGTTTCATATTATTATTATTATTATGTGTAACTTAAAGCTTTGTTTAATTTAAATAACTATCTATTTATATTTAAATCTATCAAGACTGTAAGCAAGTATTTTTCTTCAGGTGGCCCACCAGCTGACATGGAATTGAAATTATGGCCCACCTCCAAAATAAATTGGACACCCTTGGTCTAAAAGGTGTCGATACAAAGCAGCCACAAATTTAAAGAATTGACACAAGTTCCTATTAGACATAAGTTTTCCGATTTGTTTCAAAACAATTTGAAAACAAGAGTTGTGTCCAAGTTCAGGCACAAATTGCTAAATGGGAACTTTTAATTATAATTAAAAGTTCCCGTTTATAAACATATTGTTTTAAATTCTGTAGTTTTGAAAAATATTAAGCTTTTAAATGCAGTATAGGTATCTTTTTAAAGTCAAATTAAAAACAAAAGCTTAAAAAATAATAAATAGATTTTCTACAATTTTTATTTCTTAAAAATACACAAAAAATAATATAACTTTTTATA